AACCACCATATTTCAGGCACTTGAAGAACACGAGGCTGTGAGCACCTGATATATTTCATCCTTGTAACCGGAGCAAAACTCCTCTGATTGTTCTTCCCCATCTCCCACTTTATATTTTATTTTTGGTTTTTTTAATTTTTTTGAGGCATTTGGAGTAAAGTGACTTGCCCGGGGTCACACAGTAAGTGTCTAAGGTCGCATTTGAACTCAGGTTCTTCTGACTGCAGGGCTGGTGCTCTATCCACGGTGCCACCTAGCTGCCCCATTTTACATTTTGTTTTTCATTCATTGCACTATGATGCTTTCCATCCCCACAGCTCAGCTTTCACTATTGCCCTACAAGCCTTCTGGAAGTGCCGAAATGTACTATGTTCCGAGCTCATTGGAGCCACCCCAGTATCCTGTTGCCAAGTCAGAGACCACTCTGGAGAGCAGCCACTCAGGTAGTATGTGAATCTTTGATTTATGAAAATATTATTGGTGTTAGCTTCCCATGATAAAGTGTGAAAATTGCAAGTACTTCAGTATTCTTTGTGCACTGTTCATTGTGGGAACTCAGTTAAAAAAACAAACAAACAAAAACAACTCCAAATAGCTGAATAATGGAGGCAGTTGGTAGGTGGTCTATCTAGGAAAGAAGCTCATTTTGTTTTATCTCCTTATCCTTGTGGTTCTGCTTTGTTCTTAGATGATAAGCCTTTAGAACTTTAGATCTGGTTTTTTTTAGGCATTCACATACCTCTGTTGACTGAGTTCTGTCTTCTAAGTGATGTCACTCTCGTATACATGCCACTAGACTTCTGCCCCACGTTCAAGGTACATGTGAACTACTTGTGTATACATAAATAAGTATGCACAAACTAAATACAAGGTAATTTTCTGCAGGAGGGAGGAGTGCAATAATAGCCGTTGGTAGGGTAGGGTGGGGTGGAGTCAGGAAACACTGCCTATTTTGAAGCAATTTAATGAGAAAAGAAGTGATGTATCCTCCCAGCACAGAGAACAGCCTGTGTGCAGATGGAGGGCCCTGCTTCAGGAGCAGTGAGGCCAGTTTGATGGGACTCTAGATGGTGCAGATCAATCAGGCTTATTAAGTGCCTACTATGTGCTTGGGTACTGAGAAGGCAAAGCTCTGGAAATAGATAGAGCAAAAATAGTATCTGCCCTCAAGGAGCTTGTGTTCCAATGGGAGAGGCCACAGAGTACACAAATGGGTACCCACAGTAGATGTGCAGAGCAAATGGCCTGAGGGGGAGGCCCAGGTGCCTCGGAGGGACAGCAGGTAGAAGAGCAGGAGGTCAGTGGTAACCAGAAACATGCCAGAGTTGTGATGAGGGCATAGGAGAGGTGACAGAGTTGGAGGCTTCCCAGAAGGCACCCCTGGCTCACAGTTTTCCTCTCCAACCTGCCCTGGCTGTGATTCTTTTCTTGGAGAGGGGAAGTTGACCCTTTTATCTTCTTCCTGCCCTTCTGAGGTTTTCTCCCCTCCATATTGGCCTCCACCTGCAGACTTGGGGCTCTCCCTCCTCACCTTCACCACCTCCTGGCCTCCTTGGCTCCTAACTGTTAGTGCCTTCTCTATGGGACTGCCTTCTGTTTACTCTGTGTATATGTTATTTGCACATAGTTGTGTCCCCCTTTAGGATGTAGGCTCCTTGAGGGCAGGGATTGTATTTTTTCCTTTCCTTGCCCAGCACTTAACACGGTTTCTAGCATGTAGTAAACACTTAATAAATATTTGTGGTTGCTGACTGACCTCCCATATTTACTGCATTTCAACTGTGTGCCCGCATGGCCATATTGTCAAGCTCTTGATTACCCAGCATGACTCTGTCTGCCCAATTCTGAACTCCACAATTTCATTTTCCAGCGGTACCCTCTTATCTTCTGGGTCTTGCCTACCCTCACAATATACCTACTCTTTGAACTCTTGTCCTTGGCCCTTCCCTTTTCTTCACATCTTTCTCTCAGCCCAGTTGTATCCTCCAGTTGGTTAGATGCTTCGATGATTTTTTTGCCCTTCTGCTTTCTTGATTGGCTCACTGTGAGCTCTGGCTAGTCCACAGTCTCTCCTTTCTCTGCTCCTCTGGCTAATGACGTGCCTGTATGGTGGTGACTAGCGATTTCCTTGGTGTCAATGCTTCCTCCATTTATACAACTCACAATTCCCTTTAACTTAGAAGAAAGGTCTTTGAGAGTTACTCCAGCCAAAATCTACTGCTTTGTTTGCAAGATGAGTAAAGAAATAATTAGAGAGCAAGCAGTGTTCTGAATGAGATCGTCACCTGACCCAGGTGTACTGAAAGAATTGGTGTATATGATTGGAGGAAGAGGGGGAG